GTTGGACTCAACCAGTTCTGCATGTCCTTTTATGAAGAATGCTCAAAGACAAATCTGTCCTTTAAGATATTTATTACAATATTCAAGAAAAGCAATACAGAGCTCTGGGTTCCGTCTCTATCTGAAGCCCTATCCACACACAGAAGTATAGTTGACAGCCTCTTTCAGGAAGCCGGAATGGCTACTCTCCTCCCCACAGAGAATTTATAATACAGTCATGAATATGCAAATGACGGTAGATCTGACGTCATCCATGTTGTCCTTCATCCTCGTTCCTTGGTTGGTTTGTTGACCTCGTTCTGACCCCTCATTTGGTGATCTTGTCGCCAGGCAGATTTTGATCTGTGAAATTCTGAGAATAACATCCTGACCTTCTGAACCAGACATTACACACCTACGTACGTCTTTACAAACAGTTAGTTGTTGTCTGCAGATTTAGGAACAGCACCCAGGCCTGCTGTGAACCTGACCGTAGAAACCAGACAGTGTAAATCCCAAAACTGAATTTAAAATATAACATAACTGTAACACAAACATTTGTAATGTAACTAAACTACTTGTATAAAAGCTCTAGCCAAAAATCTTCTGCTAAGAGATGAGCTGAGAATATGAAAATACTCAGTGACAATTAAGTAGTGAATATATAAATGACAGGATACTAATAACTGCTATGCATGAATCGTGTACAGTATGAATATATGAAAATATAATGTCCAAGTCCATTGTCCTTTGATCACCTTTGACTTGCACTCTCTCCTCATGAGGGTCAGATAGATGAGAACACAACTGGGTCATAATCTGCATTGTCATCAAGGGGAGCATCAGCTTCACTCGAACTCCCTCCTCATCCAAGGAGTCCCTTGGATCACATCTTCTCCTTATCGAATCAGGATCAGCTCCAAGCCATCGCTGTCCTTGGGGACATTCACACCATGTACAGGCCTCCTTCACAAAGAGGGTCTCTCCTCCTCTGGGGCACCGTCACGAACAGGACATCTCCTGCTCTCACGTTGGGCTTTCCATCCATTTGGGCCTCTCTGTCCTGCAAAGAGGAAACACAAACAACACAGACCACACAGGAGCAAATACTCCTGCACATAGTATTGACTAGTCTAAAATTTCATTTCCCTATCAGGATGTCAAACTTGGTATTAACATTACAAAGTAGCACTCTATAGACCACCCTTAAACCTCCTAACTTTAGATCTGAACAACCTTTTAGCAAATGGTAAGAATTTGAAACTAAAATATTTTCATCTGACTTTCATCAGAAGGTGACAAGTGTGGGTTTAAGGGCAAATCTGTGACTTTCACATACACACACTCCTGCAGTTCCTCATTTTTGGGATGTGTGGTTGCTTCCTCTTGTGTGATTCTGTACTTTTCACTTTGTTAGATGTACAATCACTTTTCCCCATACTTTCAATACAACCATTTCACATTTTATTTAACACATTCTTTAATGATTATTTCAAACAAAACACAAATCATTTTATGATTATTTTTACTTATTAAAAGCATTTTAATAATAATTCCTTTGTTCTCTCCAACCTCCCTGGAAGTTCCTCTTTCTCCTCTGCCTTCTCTGTATCTCGGTGCTCTTTGAGGCCCGAACTTACAGCCTTGCTGACAACACACATACACCAAAAATAGCAGCAACAGCATCATGGAGCTGAATCAAATGACTTTACTCTACCAGGAAGTGTACTATTCATTGTCATTACACAGGCAAATCTGTGACTTCTGTGGGAGGAGATTTTAACATCCATACATGCAACCCAGGGAGATACAACACACCCTAAGCAGAAAAACACAAAAACTAAAAGAACTACCATTCATTAATTTCCAATAAGAAGAGAAGTGTGTTATAAGCAGAAGAATGTACTAGCATCTGCATGAGGATATTACTAGATGTGAATAAAGCATCTAATTGAATTAAGTTATGACAACTTAACCAGAAGTGCAAACAACAGTAAAGTTTACCTTATATCCAGGCTACCTCCTGAAGAGAGTCCTCCTGCATTGAAGTAGTTACAAAACTTACAATATAACATGAGAAATAACCACTGTATGTCCATACATCCCCCTCACATTCAGAACACAGGTACAGTATCATGTGCTTGCTTGATTTGCTTCCCCATCGCCCTGTGCACTCACTAATGTATTTGTCATAATATTGTCCTTTTGTCCCCTACCACATTGTGAAAATGAAAATCTAGACAACCACTATTACATCCTTGCCAGAACCCATTGTAGAACTACAGGGTCCCAACACAAGCAATCAATTAATTAACCAATTATGCAATTGACAAAAACTAATCTACTACCTTTGTGATAATCACTCAGCTTTTTCCAAAAGCTAAGGCTTCTCTGCTTTCTGTTTCTCAACCATTCACTAAGTTTCTCTATTTCGTACATTAAGTTTATCGTTACTGAGTGTAAAGAGTTTGATATCAGGACTTTGAGATCCTAGTAAAAATGACATGTGACCTTAACACTCTAAAGAAAAAAACAATCTAGAATCTGTGGTGTCACATTAAGCTGAACCACACCTAAAGAGAGAAGATAAAAACTAAATCAATCAAAATGTAATTAAAACATCATATAACCATGACCCCCAAATGACCAGCGTCCAAAACATGAATGCTAACTGAGCATCATTTCCTCAATGTACTGGAGGACAGTACATGAGATCTTACCTGCCAATTTCCTCAGGTAATCCTGCAAAATTTATTAAACACATGAGCAGGAGAGTCTTTCAGAGTGCCACTCTGAAAGATGCCGAACATAAGTCAGTCATATTAAACCACTTGACCTCAGGTGGAACATCCAACAACAGTGCATGCAAGTTTGGAACTTCAGTTTAAAATGCACTACACCCTCGATTAAAGATCTAAGAGAATTAACACACTGCTTAGATAATGTAAAAAATGTACTACTTAATACTTGCGTTTGTCCACTATCAGTACTGGCAAGATTGACGTATTACTGCATAAATTTCGCTATATAATCATTGAGTTTTAACCCATAGTCTGTATTTACCACAAAACATGTGAAGAGCTGTTTTCGATTTTTCCCTTTTTTTCTTCCAGCTACCTATTTCTCTATTATGATAAGAAAAAATTATATTTGAACCTTCTGTTTCTTAAATCAAATATGTGAGTGTACTTTAAACTTAGTTTTAAATATTGTAGAGTGCAGTGAATTTGACAGACAGGGAGTGAGGCCTCTTGACAAATCATCATTAATAAGTTCATTCACATTCTAACTAAATTTATAAAGGCGTTATCCACATCCAGACCAATACACCATGGCCTCGGCCTGTCTCACTCATTGTCTTTTGCCCCCACAGTCATTTGGTTTTGTGCAGTCAGAACCACAATGTCACATTCCAGCCACCAGCTCTTGCAGCTCGGCAGTCTCTTTCCTTGCTCTGGGACTACAGGAAATAGAGTTTAAAAAAAAGTCGGCATGACTCACACTGTCTCTATTATTGTCCCAGTGCTGAAAACGTAAGAGGGGGACCCCACCCTTTGTTCATAGGTCCCCACGCCCCAGGGTTGCCCTCTTGACCCTGGGCCTGTCTGCCACGAGACCACTCGGGGCATCTGTCTCTCACATGCCCCCACTTTCCGCAGTGGAAGCACCTTTGAAAACCTTCTTATCCTCTGAGGCCTTCCAGCCCACCCCCCTGGCTGTGCGTATATCAGCTGGGGGATGACAACGGCAGGCACTGAAGATTGAGGAAGTCCGGCTTGCTCAGCAGGAGTCACAAGCGCCTTTTTCGTCCACTTTTTTGCAGCCGGGGAACAAAGCACCCCTTCACGTTGGTGTGACATTGGATGAACAGAATGGGGGAGTTTGGGTGTAGTTCCCCCTTGGTCATGACTCACCTCAGCTTTCGGCTTTGGTCTGGGGATGTTTGGTCTGAGGATAGGCACCCGTGTAATACCAGATGGAGCAGAGCAGAGCACCTCCCCTTCTGTCACCCCACTGCACTCATGGTCTGTCTTTATCTCTTCTTCCTGCACAAACTTCACAATCTGATTATGAACCTCATTTAAACGTTTAGGATTTTTACCAGAAAGCTTTAATGTTTTTAAATATATGTC